AAACAGCCAAGCAATATTCCTTCTTTATTTTTTCTTTCTCTGTATCAGGAAACCAATACAAAAGAATGCAAAGTACTGATCAGAACATTTCTGCACCTAAGAAGTGAGGCTCCCACAGCACCTGAGAATCATTTCATCCTCTTCTCACTGTTGCCCCTGCAGACCTTGCCTGTGAGGCTTCTTCTTCACTATCCTTTGGGATGTAATTTAAGGTCAGTGACTCGATTTTCAGATCGTTCTCAGATAAAAATGTCTCCCTTCACTTCAGTAGAAAAGAAAAATACCACAGACTCGGTGAAATTAGGTCTAAGGCCGAGAAATAATACAATATCCACCAGCTTCTCATTCAGCCCGGGGAGGCAGCTAGGGGGCAGCCTGCAGGAGGATCTGGGGGCTCTTCTCTCTGCTCACCCAAGTTCCTCATCTCATCCTCCTTACACCTCAGCCAGAGCTGGAGCGTTTCATCCCTCTGAGTCGAAGAGGTCAGAGATAGAAGGTATGAGGAGACACTGATCTGGCATTGCTTTTTCCTGAGCTCAGCAGTGTTCAAAGCTGACTTTTCTGATCCCAATTTAGTCGGTTCTTTGAAGGCCCTCAGGCTCCGGGGATCTCTTACGGCAGAATCTGACCTGTCCAAGTGAGGCATTCATGACTGACCACTTACTACCTTACCCAGAGCCTTTGGTTTTCTGCACTTCACCTTCAGGCTTCCCCTACCCCTTTATGTGAATTATCAAAAGGGGGCCCTCCAACTTGATGAAGTATAGACAATGCCCTCACCCCAGGTTCACACAGCCCTTTACAGGAGCATGGGCAAACAAGCCCTTCTCACCCATATGCCAAGTGCCTTTGTGCAAAACACAACCTACTGCTGGTGACATTACTGCAGCCCTGTGCCCTCCCCAGAACACCACTAGGATCACAGATTCTCCACCAAATACTTGTGAGGAGGAAGTAACAAAAGCACATCTGCTCTGTGCTCACACGACCCACAGCAAGTGCATGGGAAACCCACCCATTTACTTGTCATGACAGAGAGTGCAGTTACTTGCCCTCTTTTCTTTCAGCCTTCTTTTCTTTTAGCCCTCTGAGAGACAGATCTAGACCCAGCATCTCATATTTCTCTGCTGTAAATTAAAAAGCAATCCACTACATCACCCAAAATCCAGGGGAACATAGCAATGGTTCCCCTGTAGCTACAGCACCCTATATTGGAGTCGAAGTCTGGAGGACACAAACCCACATCTTGGACCTATATATCTAGAAGCACACCAAAAACTCTCTGTGCTCCAACTTCCTGCCTATCTTAGTTTCTTAGACTTTAACCCTTTTATGTTCCATGTGCTTTCAGACACCCCACTCAGATCTGCACAAGGGGATGGCAACTTTCACTTTGGAATATGGCTTAGTTGGCATCTCTTTGTCTTAGAATTTCTGTCAAAACGATGACTAGAAGACTTTTATTGTGTAGCAATAATTAAAATCAGAATTTATAGATGATCAAAAGGGGAACATATTTTGAAAGAGGCTTAAAAATAAATGAGGAATGCTTATAAGCAAATTAAAGATAAATTTTAGCATTTTAGACATACATATTTACAAAGACCTAGTATTAAGTCTCTAGATTTGATCAGTCCTGTTCTGAGTTATACAGAGGAAATTAACAGCCAGAGGGTTAGCGAGTGAAGGTTGAGGCAAGCAGTGTGGCCAGATGGATTATAAGGTTCAGGTAGCCATATAACTTAATGCCCAAACCAAACAACTGTGAATCAGACAATAGCCATAAGTGAGAAGTATTTCATACTTCTGGATTCCTGATCACCCCATATGATCAAAATAACTGTAGTTTCCTGACAGGTAGTAGAAACCAGTAATAAGATTGATCTCTGCCAGTAGAGATTTGCTTCAAAGGGAATGCTAGTAAGAGTAAACTATGGATCAGATTGGGAATACGGAAGGCATTTATTAATATTTGTAATTAATGACAGTGATGATACAGCAACTCTCAGTGGTATTTCTGGATGAATGTTGGGATGCTCTATGGGCCATGTCTTAAAAGCGTTTTCCCAGTGTTAACTGTAAAGAATCCTAAGAAGAAATAACATGATTAATTACTTGAACAATCATAGATAAATTAGGAACTTTAAGCAAACTAATAAAAAAAAATACAAACTAGAAAGACTGGTCTAAATGCCGAAAACACATTTCACTTGAAAAATCTTTGATAAAAATAAACATATTATACCAGTCACTTAAAAAAAAAGAAACAAGTGGCGCCTGTGGCTCAAAAGGGTAGGGCATCGGCCCCATATGCCAGAGGTGGTGGGTTCAAACCCGGCCCCGGCCAAAAAAAAGAAACTAGAATTGTTTAGAAATGGAGCCCAGATCGAATACTTGTGGTGGGGAGGAGAGAGGAAGAATGCACTTTCTTAATTGACATGCTATTTAGTCAAAGGTTATTATTTAGCCAGATCTCTTTAGGCTTTTGAAAACACACGCAGACACACACCAACAAATAAAAATTAAAATTAAAAGCTAAGTTATATCCCCATGCCATGATGAATTTAAATGATAAAGGAAGAAATAAAGTTCAAGACTAATTGCTTTCAATTAAATATTCCATATGCTTGCTTGACAATTAAAATACCATCAATTCACTATAAAATAAAGACCAGTAATAGTAACTAATATTTATATGCTGCTGACACACATTTACTAATCCTTGAAATGATTAGTGTGAGCAGTTATTATTCCCATTTAACAAATGCCAGAATAGATAGAGGGAGGGTAAGAAACTTGCCCAAATTCTCACAGCTGGGAAGTGATGGAAATTCAATATTCAAATTCAGGTAATCAACTTCCACAAGGCTGAGGAGCACTTCCATTCATCATTTCTTTGTGTGTATGGAGGACTAGGGGAGAGGAAGAATTGTCCCATAAAGCCTGATCTGATAACAGATTGATAATTTGCTTCAGTGTTACAGCCTCTATGCCTCGCAAAGCATAAACCGTGAGATTCAGACTATGGAGATGCACTTCAGCCTGGACATCAGCACTTTCCTTTGTGCAAACACAGCTACTTTTCTTGTTTAATGAGATGAAAACATCAGCCCTCTTCTACTTCTCTCATTCCCAACTCAGTCTGATAATATCGTGGAAGTGCATGATGACATCCTCTAGAACATTCTGAAAGGGGCCAAAATCTGCCAACATGGCTTCATTGGTTTCTGAAGCCCTGTAGTGTATAAATGTATATTTTTCTCATTGTCCAGGCCATTACTTTTTGATATTCGGTTGTCTATTGGGCAAACATTATTAAAAATAATTCCTTAAGAAGACCTAATGTGTTTATGGAGAACAATAACATATATTAGATAACAGTAATGAAATATAAGGGAAGGGTGATTTTTGCTTCTATTTTGGGAGTGCTATTACATCTCAGAAAGAATGGTGCTAGAAGGAGCACATCAGCATTTTTAGCATTTCACTATTTAAAAAACATTTCATCTTTTAATAGATGCAAATGCCTGGGTTTACTGGAGTTCACAATGAAATATATGTACATGTGTCTTTTAAATATCACTAGCCCGCTTAAAAAAAAAAATCAGTGGTACAATTATTCCTGTAGTTTAAAAGTTCTGGCGAGGTTACAAAAGAGCAGTTGTTAAACAATTTAACATTAAATATTAAAGAATAAATGTAGCATTTAAAGCATTAAGTTTAATTGTGTCTGGCTTGATATAACTCAATCCTTGGTTAATACGAAGTTCGTACATTAGAGTGGAAAAATTAATGAAGTTTCAATTTTGAAATCAAACACAATGTGTTTCTACACATAGAAAGATGCCTGGAATTTTAGCTTTGGGATTTTCTCTTCTGTAGCTCGCAGCCTATTAAAGCTATTTCCGTATGCCTTTCTCTCTTTTGTGCCTACGTCACCGATTTAAGGTTCTTATTTATTTATTTAATTTCAAGAAGAAAGAAGAGGTTCTGTAGAAAACATTAACTGCGTCTACTACCCACGAGTAAGACTGGAGAAGGACTAATGAGCTGGGGCAGCTGCAAAAGGTTGGTGTGGTAGCTCAGAAAGATAAAGGGGAAAAAAGATAATTCAGCACGCCCCTCTAATCTTATTCCACCCAAGAAATTTGGGAGGATGCGAAAAAGCAGCAGCCCAGCATTCCTGAAGGGGCGTGGCTTCTCTCCGGGGACTGCCCAATCGAATTCCTTCAGAGGGAGCTATCCGTAGAAGATTGATGAAGGTTGCTAGGAAACAGGAGCGTCTCCCTCCCTCCTGACCCAGAGATTGTTCAGCACAAACCCTCTCCAGGGGTTCGCAATGTGCAGTTGTGCCGCGTGTAGGGCAGAGCTGCGCACCGGCCTCGCTGGCTCACTCACTCCTTTCCTGCTCCCGCTCTCTCTGGCTCCTCCAGCGCGCGGTCACCCGGTTGCACCGGGACCACCGGAGAGTTCTTCCAAGGACTAACTCTAAGTCCCTGCTCACCCAAAAGCCAAGAACTCTAGCAGAGCTTTAAAGTTAAAGCCGCCGCCTCCTTCCCTACAGCCCCACGCCCCTTCGCCTCACTCCTCCGAAATTCTCCGACCTTTATATGCACTGCTTAAGGATTTCAAACAGAGAGAGGCAAAGCGGCCAGGCGGCCAGCAAAACCGCTCTGGCTTTCGGTGTAATCATCTTCTCATCTAGGTACCCTGGCTCAGTGAAGACTCTGCAGATACACCCCTATAAAAGAAGGGAGGAAGGGGGAGGGGAAGAGGGAAAAAGAGAAAGAATGAGAAGGAGAGGATGCCAGAAGGTCCATGTCTCTGCTGAGAGTCCCAATTAGATGCGATGGTTTCAGCTTGGTCAAGGTGAAGGAAAGTTGCTTCCCCGCCTAGGAAGTGGGTTTGCCTGTTTAAAGGAGGAGGAGGGGGACTCCTCTGGGAAGTGCTCCCCTCCCCTCCGCGGAAGACCACTGGGTTCCCCTTTCCCCAACCTCCTCCCTCTTCTCTCCTCCACCCCTCCCTTTTCCCACTCCCAACTGACTCGGAGGCCTGGATGCTCTGCCACCGGGCAGTGGTCCAGCGCGCAGCCGGGAGGGGGCGGGGGCAGGGGGCACTGTGACAGGAAGCTGGGCGCACAAGTTGGACATTTCGGGGGCAAAATAACTTCTCCCTTGGATTTGGAAAGGACAAAGCCAGCAAGCTACCTCTTTTGTGTCGGATGAGGAGGACCAACCATGAGCCAGAGCCCGAGTGCAGGCTCACTGCCGCTGCTGCCACCACGGTCAGCTCCAGTTCCTGGTAGGAGTTGTTGCGAGGTAAGGGGCCCAGAAGAGGACGTGTCCCTCTGGAGGGAGCCCAGCTAGAGCGCGGGAGCTTGGGTGCCGCGTGGGGCAGGCGTAGCCGGGAAAGTTGAGGCAGAGCAGGGACTGGTCCCTACAGTTCTGCCGGGGTTGGGAAGGACGGGAGGCAGAGGCGATGTGGATGAGCACCAGCGAGAGTTTGTGTGTGTGTGCGCGCACGTTTGTATCTCTGGGAGGAGGTAGATTTTAGGGCACCGATCTGTGGCCAGGGCGAGAGAGGTGGAGGGACTAACCAGCGCTCACAGACCCCAAGAGATACCAGTCTCATCAGCCAACCACCTCCAGCTCTGCTCTGGACTCAGGATTCGTTTCTATCTGGGGGCTCCCAATGCTTTGTGCACAGGAAACCTTGCGATGACTGGCTGACACATTGGCGGTTCCATGTGGGTGTGGAGGTTGCCAGGAGAGGTGGGTAGCGGTCAGCGGACCTGGTCCATGCAGCGGGGAAGAGCTCGGTAGCCAGAGGTGGCCAGAGGTTCACCCTCCCGCAAGCATGCTCGGAAAGGAGCCTTAACTCGCTGCCCTTTGCTTCTTTTTGGCTTGAGCGAAAAATCGAAAAGCCAGACTGGGAGCGTATCTTTTCATCGATCCGGTTCCATTCTCTTATCTGACAGTGAGATAACTCAGAGAGGGCGGGAGATTTGCGATCCAAAAATAGGCTAGGTAATATATCCAATAAACTTGTTTCTCAAGGATTTTATGGAAATTTCCTTTTAATTTTTCCTTGGATTAACAAACGTGGAAGATTCTCCAAAATAGAATACTGATGGACAAATATATTAATGGGGCATGCTCCTGATTTTTAAGTATTTTACAGATTATGGATTTTGGAAACAAATAAAACTGTACATTTCTAAAGATCTGTGGTTAAGTATTCAAATAATTTGCTTATAAAATTTCTACTGATATTTAAATAGTAACAGATATGTTTGGGGTCTATTTAGAGATAGTTACATATTGGAATATTCAAAGCTTAGGTTCATGCGTGTTGAGGTGAGTGTAAGTTAAGGAGCTAACAATAGTTCATTACTTTGAGATTCTTTGCTTGAATTTCTTTGTGTTTCTGGCTTTTAGAGTAGAGAAATATTATGTTTCTTCATGAAAAAAGCCTCTATTTGAAGAGAAACAGTAGTAGTTTACCTATGACTAAAAAAATGCTTTGGTTTATCTATTCCACATTTTAATGCTACTACCTGAATTTCAACTGTTTGCATAAATATATTTGATGTAGATTGTCATTATGCTTAACTCATATGGATTACAGTTCCTACCAAAGATGTTTGAGATGCTCTAATTTTTAGCTATGTTTATATTGCTACATGCCTTTTTTCTAAAAATAGCCCAATGGAATCTGAATACACTTGGAAGCTACCATATATCAGAAAATATTATAATATTTCAATTTCATAATGGTAGTGTCTTTTTTTACAAAGATTTCCTACACCTGTAGTTTTTACCTGGCCATCCTTTGGGGTTTTGATCACCTAGCAAGAAGTGTCAAATATTTTGAGTAAACATGCTATAAGGTTATCTTGTTTTATGATTAGAGTAACACAGGTACTTGGGATGGAAAATGAGAGGAAGTCTTGAAACTTACACTTTCACAAATAAAACACTAAAAATTCCAGCATATCTACATTGACTAGATTGGACTAGACAGAAGGATATGGTAACAATACCTTTTAGCATTGGTAAACTTACCCCCCATTATTGCAAAAAAAAAATTCTAGGTATAAAACTCTAGTTCTACAAGCTAAAGTCTTACCAATGAGATGTGGAATCTAAATCATAGAAATTATAGCAACACAAGTAGGCTAAACTATGGGGCTTGGAATCTGGGGACACTTTCTCTTAAATTGTATGGCATTTTTTACACAATAAAAAAAGGTGTGGAAAGCTACATGAGCAGATAGTATAAATAATAAAAATATGTCCTACAACCCACTCATTTGGGTATGCTGCATTTTTTTAAAAAGTTGTGTTGTACATATGAAAAGAACTGTTACCCCACAATTAACCAAATATCAAAATGATGAGCTCAACCCTAATTTTATGTTGCTACAATTAAAATTGGTAAAGTTGAACTAACATAGATAGAGCATAAAATTAATTGATCTTCATTATTACTTAAATTGAAGTTAGTATTTGTAATGAATGAAAGAATTGAAATAATTGTTTAAAGGTCACCTTTTTCATTTCTGTAGTGTATGACAGACGATCAGCTGGAATGACACAAAATTGAAGATGGTCTTATTTTGAAATACTCATAGCAATAACATTTTACAACTTCCCTGGGTACATTTTCCTCTTTCTTATATCAAACTTCTTTTTTTTCCAAATTAAACCATTTTTCTTGTCCATTCCTCTATCAGTGGATCAGTCACAAAATGAAGCATCATCCTTTTCTAGAGTTCTAGCAACCTCCTGCCAAAATGTAGCCCGATGGCTTGGGGATAAAATGTTTTAATTTGTTTTCCTGAATTCAGCATCATCCCAAGATTCCATTAACCAGAAGAAATGAAAATTAATGTCTAGTCAATATTGAAAACTAAAAGGGCAGAATGCATTGGAATGCATTGGAGTACGTTGGAATGTGGATGGATTTCCAGAGTGAGACGTGTTTTCTCTAGGGGTAACTCTCAAATAAGGAGTATTTACTCATAGTCTTCTCATGTTGCTATTTTAAACTGAGTTTATTGTGCATTCTCACCTCTTTTGAGATTCTATTAAATGCATGAGATGAATTTGTTGAAATTGCTCCCAAGAAGTAGCATAAAAAGATAGATTATGTACCAAGTCTGAACACATAAAATGAGTACAATCATGGTAATCTCTGAGACAGTAGAAATTATTAGGTCATCCCCTTCCTTCCGTTTCTAATGTAATCTTGGTCCCTCTAGCCTATTTTGGAGTACTTCAGTCCAATCTGACATTAAATGGCTCGTGACTCCTTCCAGAGCCTTTGAAAGACTATTTCACAGTCTAACGGTATTCCTTATTAAGAACTTTGTCGTGATAGTCAGCCTAATTTTCCCCCAATTCTATTTTATCTTGTTATTTACTTCCTATTATAACCCTTCTGGACTAGTCCACCCTCTTGTCTGATTTAGAGTCTCTCTCCAACATTTATGTGGGAATTATAAAATACACAGTTATAGGAGAGAACACAAAGGTGACAATTCTTTATCCAGACATCTTTGCTAAATATTTAAGACACATCTTTCAGGCCATTTGTATATATGTATACATGACTATTTGTTCCTCATAATTTATCTTATTAGTGCAAGAGTGATGAAATTGCCTTCTCTGACATGAATGACCTGTGTGAATAATGAGATGATCCCTTCTCAGTAATGTTCCATGTGGATGCACATTTATGAGACATTTTCATTGCAAATTTGTTGTCAGCAGAATCCTGTCAACACCCACACTACAAGGGAATTCTGTGGCATACTGGTCTGATGCTCAACTGAGCCCCAGAAGCTGTTGTCATGTAAATTCCACTTTTGAAATGAATGTGATTTCCATAATTAATAGGATGTGCTAGGAATATAATAGTGTATATAGTTTAGATGTATATGTTAACGCGCTATAGTAATTCTGTTAGAACTGGCACTAGCCCCTTCCTACTGAACAATCTGAAAAACACAGTAGAATTAACACCAAATTAGTCACAGTGCTGTATTATGAAAAGTAAGCTTAAATCATGCATTATAGCTATGTGGAATAGATTTAGATATATATGGAGGTACCATATGTGAAGATGACTTTAAAAACAGAAAAGCCTGAAATAACCACAAGAGAAAAACAGGTTTTAACTTTGTTCACTTAAAATCTGGTTCCAAAACATCCGTGAGTAGGCTTCTTTAAGATTCTTAAGCAAATATCTTGGTAGACTTACCATCCCACTCAATTGTTTCTCCAAGTCCCAGGCACTGAAGTACAAGTTCTGCTAGACAGGAGAGGAGTAAATGATATAAATCAGGAAATAAGTTCCTAGGTTACACTTGGCAAGTCTACAAAACAGAAGACTAAGAGTAAGGTGATTCAGCGGCTAACAGCACAATTTAGTTCTTATTTACTGCTCGCTGAGCATGATATGGTATATAGAAGTATTCATGTGAATTAGGTTAAGGAAACAAGAAGGAGACGTCATTGCAAAGTGAATGTACTTTTCAAGGAATAAAATTAGACTGCACAGAATAAATAATTTTTAAGCCAGTATTCTCCTTTTGCTGAAGCCCCAAAGTGTTTTTATAGTACCATTCATCACATAGTGGTGAGTACCCTCAAAATGATTTTCCTTAGAAACAAAGGGGAAATCAATTTTCTTGGTACAGAAAAAGTAAGCCATTAATATACTTGTGACTTCTCCCTGGAACAGAGAAGCATCCTAAGAAGTCTGTGTCTATATAGAATAAATATGTCCTCATCAAAGGAGCAATCTTTCCTTAGAATGGGAAACTGCACACTGCACTGTAAGGAGAGAACTGAAGTTGGGAAACATTCAAATGTAATTTGTACAACCATAGACTAAAACACCATGTTTGGAAATCAAACCATACGTCGAAGAGAGAGGATATCGCCACAGAAAGCCCAAGGTAGATCTCATCTTTAATTCCTTATCAGAATTTATTTCACTATTATTTCCTGTGCACACACTATACACACACACACACACACACGTGTTTGAGTAAATTGAGTTAGAAACAGTTAGAAATTTTTAAAACCATAATTCTAGATGTATAGTTTGAAAAAATTACAGTCTATTGTGTAGCATGAGAGTATTAAGAGTATAAAATTTAAGGAGACTCCCCTTAGAAAGAGTCGACCATCAGAAAGAAAAAAAATAGCTAATAGAGAAACAATGAGTCAATAAATATTTATTAAACACCTGTCGTGACTAAAATAAGATTCGGGGAATGTAATGGGGACACGAAATGTGGTAAAATACA